TACTTATTTTGACCTAAACGTAAATAAAATAGTTCGTTTTGTTTTCACTGGAAGTACTTATGGTTAGTAGCGATAGTACTTTAACACCTTATAGAAGACTTGACAAAATTTTCTCTATAAATATTCTGGTTGCTTAAATAGTGTTCAATAGCATTTGATCACTTTACAGTTGCTATGATTTCTAAATTCAAGCTCGTACTAAAACATGCCGGGAGAACAAACTTAGTCTCGGTCACTAGAGAATTAGACTATGAGAAAAAAAGTTATCTTAAGTGGAATTAAAGATTATAGTTAAATATTCTATAGTTTTAAGCGAATAATCTTATAAATCAGAACATAATTCAAAAGAGACGGTCGAAGATTCACTAAATAAATCAATAAACGAGTACTGAATAATTTTCTTTTCTTCAGACTGAGACTGCGACCAGAAAAACTTGATTTCGATCATGTCTATTCATACTGCACTATAGTTTCATATGGGAACTATGTTTTATTTTCGGCAATCTAACTCTACCTCTCAGAACAATTGAAAGATGGTGCACGTGCTTTTAAAAAGGACATGAATAAGAAGAATGACCTATCAGACCTGTAAATCAGGTTATATCTTCTATGATCATCCTCAAGATCAACGTTTTCGATATAAAATGAGATGCAATCTTGCTTGAAGGTTGCCATGATGACGGATTATTTGTTGAATGCTATCACGATTTAGATCAGTTTCTGCCTCCGAAATCGAAATGATTGAAGAATGATGAAATATTATAGAGTACTATTATTCAGATTCTGAGTACATATATTTCTCTGAGCCTTATATAAAATATTCTAGTGCTAGTATCACTACTTTTAGTATGTCCTACATAATTCTATATACCTTCTCCTAATTAATTCCAAGCTGATAATTTTCGTAGAATAATATCTTCTGTATTGTTCCATCGGAATTCATCATTTTATGAACATAATTGATTGATATCTGATAATGTACCATCATTTATTTGAATTTCCTATCGTTCAATTGGTATATTTCCATCAGAATTAGTTACCCAAGTTAAATTAATAATTATTGATTTACTTATTGAATTATTGACGAGTGACGTTTGAATAAATGATGGTGACTAAGGTAATTCGATGATAAACAAAATAGATTTGTACCATTGAACAATTTTAATAATATTCAACTTATCAATAATTGTGGCTTGGAGTGTGAGCGTTGGCATGAAGTGTTTTGCGAGTTAAAATAAAAATCACACCTTCCACACCCACGCCCTTTTAAGAAAGTTTTAGGCAAATCAATAAAGTATTTATTTTTTCTAGAAAAAAAAGCTTCAATTAATTTTGTTTCCTCAGTGGCAAGTCATCAAAGATTTTCTTTCAAGATTGAGGATGGATGTTGATGTTTAATCATCTCTTGATCTACACCCACACTGATTGAAATATATTATGATTAACATCGTTTTTTCATCAACAGATATTAACAGTAGGTGGTAATTTATAAGCCAAAACATATGTTGACGAACTCTCTCTTTCACAATGACAGCAGCTGTATCGTGCTTTAAATTTTGTTTCTGCTGGAATTACGTTAACAGCCTTTTAAACTTTTAAATATTGTGATTATATGCTTTCATGTGTATCAAATACTATAATAGTTATCAGAAGACATAATTTATAGTATAGTGTAGAACAGATGGAAAATAAATTGAACAATGTTTTTTTTGTTTCTTCAGAGAAGAATTTGTTGTGCCATTGTTTTCCACAGTTAGAAGATTTTTGTTATTTAAGTTCATCAGATAATATTCACTTAAAAAATAGCCTACAATTTAAAGTATTGTTGTAGAGTTCATTAGAACTCCGAACATGCCTGTTCGAGCTAATCAATGTTCTATATATTTCCTATATAGTGATAGAAAATTCTATGTAAATGGTGCTTTTGAATTCTTATATACTGTAGTACATCGTTTTTGTGTTGAGAGAATTGCTTTGCATCAATATTGCTCGTGTAAAACATAAGAAGCTAGAAAAATTATTCTTTTTCAATTCATGACAAGGGTGTGGCTGTAGGTGTGATTATTTGAGGCCTTCCTAACAGTGACGCTCACACTCCCACGCCATGTTAGATCGTATTTAGTTGATTGATAAAAGACACCATTTTTATGTATTCCATTTCATTTAATGTTCAATCAATGACTAATCTTTTTTTTCTTCAAAATATCATTGTCATTTTTTTCTTTTTCTAATAGCATTTAAAAATAAATTGATTTTTTGGCGTTAAAACACACCGAATCTAAAAATTTTGTCATTTAGCATTTGAAATCTCTTAAATATACTTGTCAATATTCAATAAAACAAAGAAATCTTCTATGCACTTCTTTTCTGTTCTGTTTTGTATGATTTTAAGTAATGTCTACCAAAATACTCATAAAAAAAATGAACGATAGGGAATGTAAAAATTCTGTTGAGACAAAAACTGCGCACTCATATTGGCTTCAATTTAAAACCACCCCAAGATCTATATCTCTTGTTGTGATAAAGTTATAAGGATCCTCTTGAAGGCCTAAAATAGATTATGAGTTAGCTGGAAATCTAGTCTGTTTTTATCTACAGAGCTGAAATTTTTATCAGAAATGTGTCTCACCAGGGCCATTCATTTCTGGAAATTTAAGGCCGAACGGACGAATCCAAGTGGCAAATCGATTTTAAGGGTCCCCCTTAAAACATAATATATCGGATATTTTAGAGTATGTATAAATTTCGTTCAAAAAAAACTATCGTTTATTCAAAATGAAGCGTTGTTGATTTTTGCTTTACAACGGCATTCGTGATAAAAAAAATACGGAAAACTATTCTAATTACAAAGTGCCTAAAATAACAAATAAACAAAGTATCTAAAATAACACTCTTCGCTTTTGTTGCACGTAAATTCACTATGCAGAGGTCTGTTTACACCAAACATCGGTGGGGAACCGAAATATGCATTCAAACAGGAGGTGTTCGCTAATGAGAGCTTTACTGTATTTAGAGTGATTATTTTCTTCCTTTTGGGTACATTTCTCTGACGATTTTTAAGCAATTTTTACAAAAAAAATACCTACCTCATCCAGCTATTTAGAATGAACGTAGTTTTCATTTATAGAGAATGTTCCCTATGTTGTCAATCGCAATCAATATGTAGCTTTCTTACTTCCAGCATTAGCCATATTTATCTTAGATGCAAAATAAATTTCGTAAGAGAAAGAAATTACATATCGTATGAATCATTTTCATTAGAAGGACAGAAGAAAAAAAAGAGGTCGTCAACTATGCAAATTTTGCTGGCGTTGTTTCTATATTAATAACAATAGGATAAGCAATAAAATATCTCTCATTCAAAAAAATATGACTTTTTCTCTAGAGGTCCGACTTGAGCGAGTTATCGAAAACTTACCTTTTGCAGAGTAGAAGATTTTCAACGAGATCATCTCTCCATGCAGAGACTTCATCATTGCACTTGCGATGAAGTCAATGGATGCGATGTTTCACTACGTGTGAAACAATCGGGCGGAAAATTTTTTCCTGTTCGATGCGTTCGCGCATCGAACTTCTTAAAATAGCAAAAAATAAAGAAAATAGGGCAAAAACATTCTACTTCTCCTAAAACTAGTTGACTCGAATTTACAGCACATTTTTTATTGTTCTACATAAAACTGCCCCATCCTCAACTATCACAATCGGAAAATGTAAAACCTTTTGGAAACGAGATTTTAATAGAATTTTTTTTCTCCGCTCGTTAGAAATCTAACACATACAGTACGGACCACTAAGCCATGATTCAAACATAAAAACTTAATTCTATTTTTACAAATCAAAAAACTTCAAATACTACCATTTTTTCTGGTCGATTTCGGTTTTTCTACAGATAGACTATGCACATAAGTGAAAAAAAGGGTGTGGGTGTGAGTGTGAATGAAGAACATAGATACACCCACCACCCACACCCACACCCACCAACTTGTGCTGCTTTATTTTTTTTTTGGCGAATTTCCTTATATTTTTTGTTCCTAATACAAACAATTGAATGCCAATTATTATTGGTATAAAATAAGTTTTACTTATTTAGAACTCGACAATAAGATTTCTATGATCAATATTCATCATCATACAATGATTCACATTATTGGCATGAAAATAATTCGAATTCATATGATTTTTATGGTTCAACACCGGTAGAAATTCCTCAATTTCAACATCCATCTCATACACTTTTACAACAAAATGGTTTTACTTAACAAGTTTATCTTAAATATAAACAAGAATGTCTTGATGATAAAAAAGAAACATTGATTGTAGAGAAAAAAAAAAGATTATTAGTTCAGTACATATTTACAATATTTCGAGAGAAACAAGCTACTGGTAAAAAAAAATTGAAATTATGTTACATAGAACGTATAAAAAACGAGTCTTTTAATGACTAAAGAAGAGTCAACATATCTAGAAACAACAATGAAAATTACTCTCCGGTAAAAATCAGAGTCGAAAAAGGCTTATATTCTTATTTAAATAGCTAATAGAGAATATGTCTGTTGCTATAATTCTCAAAAAAAAAACAAAGATTTTACTCTTTTATGGAGTTTTTTTAATAAAATACTATCATTTTTATCTACATAATAAATTTGAAAAGCAATAAAATAATCGTCAATGATTAAAAACACTAAGTTTCACTAATCGACAAACTTTATTATTTCATAGAAAATATTTATAATCTAAAGTTATGTTGATTTACAAATAAAATACATTTTGTTTTCTATAATGATCTAATTTCTAGAACGCGTTAAACTTGTTCCTGGTCAATCAATGGAAATGAATACACTCTATCGTTTTTAGTCATTTTTCTTATGTGAAAATTTTAATCGTCATATCCACAATGAATTTAAACAATATGCTGTTGAAGATACTAAAACTGATCATTGGCATATAAATGAATTGTTTTTATGAAAAATAATAAGCAAAAAAATTGAATATTACTATTTATGTATAAATATGGTGTTGAATATCTATTTCGATTTTATACATATGATATAGAAAAACATTTTCGTCAACATGTATTTGAAGATTTTCAACATGAAACTCTTTGTAATCATGAAGCTGGTAATAAAATAGATTACACAAGAAAAAAAGAAAAGTGTCAATAACAAAAATAATTTATCTATTTAGGTCAATTATATGGTTTAGAAAAATTCTGAGCATTTTTAAAATATTCTCGACAAAAACTAAAAATCAATCCAAAACTTGAAGATTTTCGTCTTGATGGTGCATCATTTCCACAACAATTTTTTCCAACAAAATCAAATTATAGTAATTGAAAAAATTTTGTTTTTCTATAATATAAATAATTTCTTTATAGACTGTTCCAGCACCCGAACCAATTGTCGCTGCAATAGCAAAGAACAGTAATACATCAAATTCAGTAAAATCCAATGATGAACAATATCTGAACGGTGCTAAACTTTACACACGTTTTGTTTTTCTTTTGTTTTGTCTAAAAAAAACGGTGCTCATATTTTTTCAAGTGGCTTTCGATTTATTTAAAAGTATGCATGTATTTTTTTTTGCTTTCAAAGTTTATGTTATTTAATCATTTTCTATGTATATATTACATTGGTTTGTTATTGTAGTAGATAGATAGATTAAATAGTAATGCATTTTCTTTTTCTGTCGATAGAGATATGAAGAATTTTCATATGGTTTTGTTTTGTTTCTGGAACTATTTGCTAACAAAAACAAAGCAACTAAGCAAATTTAATTTAATTATGATTATGCATGTTTTTCTTTTAGAAGAAAAAAAAA